AAATTTTATATATATATATATATATATATATATATATATATATATATATATTATAAAGTTACTGACCAAATGACCAGAATCTGCAACTATATAAGAATGTCAAAGAGACTCACACTGGGTTGCTGAAAACATCTAAAGAATTGTTTCCAATCCGAATCTCTGCCCCGTTAATCCTGGTGCTACAGCAGTCGAGTCTGTTAGTGATGGTCACGCTGTTCACGCTGTACGTCTTCAGCAGGTCCAGCTTCCACCACGGGTCACTCTGTGCATCTGTATGAGTACAGGTGGAGCTCAACCCATCCAGAGCGTTTTGGGCATACCAGTTGTAAGCTAATGTCGACTGAACAGGTGTGCCCCATGTTGCTATGTTCACTGGAATATTTTTAATGGAAAAAGATTACTTTCAATTACAATTTGATTGGAATTTGTATAAAGAACAAATATAAAGAAAATTATAAATTTCTGTGAAGCTGCTTTGAAATAAGTACTGTAAAAAGCATTCAAAAGTTGGGGTCACTAAAAATGTATTCATTTATTCAGGAAGGATGCATTAAATTGATCCAAAATGATAGTAATTACATCCATAATGTAACAAAAATGTATATTTCATATAAAGGCTGTTCTTTTGAACGATGCTGAAAATCCAGGTTTGAATCACAAGTATACCTTACATTTTACGATATATTACCATTGAAAATAGTGATTTTAAATAACAATTTAGTGATCTTTTAATCAAATATACTGTATGCAGCATTGATGAACAAAAGATAAAAGATTTTTACTAAGGTTTTGAAAGGTGATGTATATGAGACAAATGCTTGGAGAGAAGCGGGAAATATTTACTGTGGATTTTTTCCACCCAGTTTATTTATGTTTGGTCCCTCTTCTCAATCTCTCACTCTAAGTTGCGCTCTTTTTGTGTTTTGTACTTTCATTGACTGTTTCTCATTGCTGCTTTCTTGCAGATTTCAAAAGTTTGTTAGAAAAATTCACAGTCAATAATCTTGAGTCACTGAGATGTTGTTAGGAGGGTTGATCTTCAATATTGCATGAACACTTTCGAATGGTTATCAGTCAACATCTGCAGGACTCAATCTGCATGATTTTTGCCTATGCCTCAATTTTACATCATGCTGCACAGTAGCAAACCTTTTTGAGATTTCTCTGTCAACTTGGATGGAAAGATTCGAACAGCAGCCAGTTTTAGTTGAAATAAAATAAGCATTTCAGGAATAGTATTGTAATTTTTCAAACTTCCATCAATCATACTTAGTAAAATAAATAATAAACTGCAATTTGTCCTGCTGGGCTATTTAAGTTTATTCACCATGTTTCTGTAATATTTACATTGCAGAGCCTGGAAAATGTTTAAAAGCAGCACAAACTCACTGACAAAAGATGTAATAGTGTTTAATTGACAAAGTCTCACCTTCTCTTCCTGCCTTCGTTTGAACTGAGAAAAACCCTTGAAATGAAATGAGAAACAGAATGATGCTCAGTATGTAGAAATTTAAATGGATTTTTCGTATGACTAGAAACTTACATTCCCTTTCAGTCAGTCACGTTCGATGTTATGTCGACTGACGTTGGGGGTCTCACTCAGGAGCCCCAATCACCTCTGAGCTTTAGAAGAAAAGGGCAATGAGAATTGGCGAGTGGAATTTGCATGCCAAGCCACTCCCCCGTACATACGGATATATAAGATGGCGGCGTGCATCCACTCATTCAGATTTTTGCTTTTGAGCCGATCGCATCGTGAGCACTGCTTTCTAAAAGAAGAAAAGGAATCTTCACTATCTACAAGCTGCAGGAGTTCTCGGCTGCGGAGAATCTTCCTTCTCTTGCATTTCAGCGGAGAGATCCCCCCGTTGCGTACAGATAAGTGCCGCTGTCCTTCCCTGGACAAATCAGCCTAAACAAGCAATTTCCTACAGCAAGCACAGTTGTCGGGATGTCTTTCCGACCATGTACTTCTTGGTGTGGTAGTTTCCTTACCTCTGACGATGGTCACAATCACTGTCTCACCTGTCTGGGCCGTAAGCATGCTGAGACGGCGTTCATGGATGTCTCATGCCCATATTGTGAGCGCATGTCCATGGCTACGCTAAGATCTCATTCATAATGAGGCTTCCCTTGGGCTCTACCCAGCCCAGTCTGTCGGGTCGTAAAGACTCTGCGGCTGCATTGGTTAGGGACAAGAGTGTCCTGAGGATCATGGTCAGGAATGCGCCATCAGGCCAGCCCCCACAAAATTCTGGCCCCTCCCAGTGTAGCCCTGTTGAGCTCCCGGCAGATGGCGCCGGTTCATCCTGCGGTGGACCCAGTGTCTCTTTCGGAGCTCCGGAAGAGGATAAGATGTCTATCAGTGCATCAGAAAAGGTTATCACCTTCGGAAGCCAAATATTCTGCTGAACAGCCCACCCGCCGCTGCGGCTGCTCAGTCGGAGTCCGAGGATGAGTTCACGGCCATGCTCCTCCGGGGCCGGCCAAAAACATCGGACTGGAGGTGAATTCTCAACCTTCTCCCAAGCGCTGGAGGCTCGACGATTGGTATCCTGGCTCCGGACGTGACTCCCAGCCACGTTCTTCCCCAGTGCCTTTCTTCCCGGAGGTTCATGAAGAGCTCACCAAAACGTGGATAGCCCCGTACACCGCTCTATCACGTTTGAGCTCTTCCCTCCTCACTACCCTCGATGGTGTGGTGGCCAGGGGGTACGTTGATGTTCTCCATGTGGAGCGTGCGGTTGCGGTGCACTTGTGCCCACAAAATACTGCCACCTGGAGGAACCGTGTGTACCTCCCGTCCAAAGCCTGTAAGCTGCCGTCAGCACTGGCTGCCAATACTTACATCGCTGCAGGCCAGTCTGCCTCCACCCTGCACGCTATGGCCATCCTGCAGGTTCACTAGGCCAAGGCACTGAAAAAGCTGCATCAGGGTAGTCCTGAATCGGGGTTGATGCAGGAACTGTGTATGGCGACCAACTTTGCTCTCCGAGCGATGAAGGTCACGGCGCGGTCCCTCAGTCAGGTCATGTCCACTATGGTGGTCCAGGAGCGCCATCTCTGGCTGAACCTGGCACAGATGTGTGATGCTGACAAAGTTTGCTTTCTCTACACCCCCCTCTCCCAGGCCGGCCTCTTCGGCAACACTGTCGAGGACTTTGCCCAGCATTTCTCGGCAGTCCAGAAGCAGACAGAGGCCATCAAGCACATCTTGCCCCAGCGTGATTCTTCGAACCCCAGGCTGCCAGGAGCCAGGTCTCAACACCTGCTTCGCCCCAGGAAAAACCAAAGGAGTTAATCCCCCATCAGGGGCATCGAGCTGGCTGCAGAAAGGGGGTGCAGCCTGCTTCTTGGGGTGCCACTAAGTCTTCTCAGATTACTGCGAAACGTCCCCGAGACGGGCGACCCAGGGATGACAGGAACTGTTCTTTTGGGGACACTGTCACTGCTGACCGCCCCCACCCCCGGGGGAGAACCGGGGGCTTTTTCCACCACTGTCACTGCTGACCTCTGGGTCAGCAGTACCCACCTTCTAAGTAAAAGAGCAATTTCCCTCATCTCTGGGTCTATCACGCCAGGTTCTGATTGTGAGCGACGCTCTGCTTCCTCACGCTCAGACTCGGGGCATGAATTCACCTCTCAACACCTTGGAGTTGCAGGACGTGCTGCTTCCTCGCACTCCACTGACTTCTCCGCGGGACTGGGAGGATCAGGTTAGCTCGTCTCTACTTCTTTCGGTTCCCGGGTTGAGCCACCTTCTTTCCACAGCTGCCCCACCGCGGGTACGTTGATAACCACTCTGTTGATTCTGCTTGTACAGAGGCTAGGTGCATGGTTAGTGCTGCCCAGTCCATCTTGCTGGCTTATCTGAACGGTCCGGCTTGGCTACGCGATTCAGTTCGCCAGGCCCCCTCCCAGGTTCAGGGGCATTCTTTTAACATCTGTCCCAACTCCGGTCCTGTTGGCAAAGGACGCAATAAAACCTGTCTCTACAGCAGAGATGAATTTGGGATTTTACAGTCCTTATTTCATCATACCCAAGAAGAGCGGTGGGTTACGGCCAATCCTGGATCTGCGAGTCTTGAACCGGTCCCTACACAGCCTTCAGTTCAAGATGTTGACGCAGAAGCGCATTCTTTCTTGCGTTCGACACCAGAATTGTTTTACAGCTATCGACCTGAAGGACGCATACTTTCATGTCTCAATTCTACATCAACACAGACTGTTTCTTCGGTTTGCCTTTGTGCTTATCAGTACAAAGCCCTCCACTTTGGGCTGTCCCTGTCTCCCCACATTTTTTACTAAACTAGCAGAGGATGCCCTGTCCCCACTTTGGGAGACGGGCATCCGGATCCTCATCTCGATGACTGGCTTATATTAGCTCATTCGCGAGATCTGTTATGTGAGCACAGGGATCTGGTGACCCAATCTATGGAACCTGCATGTCTGGCTTCTGGACAGGACACGGTAGACCTCTCTGGCCTTTCTCAGGCTGTGATAGATACTATCACTCAAGCTAGAGCCCCCTCTATGAGGCAGGCCTATGCTTTGAAGTGGGGTCGAGAGGACCGAGAGGACCCTCAGAGATGCTCGGTTGGTGTGGTGCTTTCCTTCCTGCAGGAAAAGCTGGAGCGGAGGCTGTCCCCCTCCACTTTGAAGGTGTATGTTGCTGCCATTGTGGCTCACCACGATGCAGTGCATGGTTCGTCTCTGGGGAAGTATCACCTAATCGTCAGGCTCCTGAGAGGTGCGAGGAGACTAAATCCTCCTAGGTCACACTTCATCCCCTCTTGGGATCTCTCCGTGGTTCTCTTGGGAATATGGAGGGACCCCTTTGAGCCGCTTGATTCAGTTGAGCTAAAACATCTGTCTCTCAAGACTTTGCTCCTGATTGCGCTCACTTCCATCAAGAGGGTGGGGGACCTGCAGGCATTCTCGGTCAACAAATCGTACCTTAAGTTTGGGAGACCCCGGCCTGGTTATGTGCCCAAGGTTCCCACCACTCCCTTTCGAGACCAGGTGGTGAGCCTGCAAGCGCTGCTCTCGGAGGAGGCAGACCCGGCCCTTGCTTTGCTGTGTCCTGTCCGCGACTTGCACATTTATGTGGAACACACCCAGAGCTTCAGGTGCTCCAAGCAGCTCTTTGTCTTCTTTGGAGGCCAGCAGAAGGACAGCTTTTTTCCAGTTGTTCCCTGCAGGTGAACTCTGGGTCCTCCGCTGCCTCCCAGTTGCAGACTTGGCATAGAAGTCTGTCACTGTGTCCGGTGGAGAGTTGCCTTCTTCTCTCCAGACCTGGCATTGATGTTTTCTGCCATGGTTGGATTCCACCGTGTCCCCTTGATTCCTTAATTTCCAAGTTCTTCACATGATTCTGTCATTGTGCTCCACCCCCCCTAACGGTTGCCGATAAAATCTCTGGCACCCCTGGTGGGCCCGCTTATCTGGCTTACAGGGCATTGGGAAGGTTACGATTTGAGATACATTTGTTCTGGCACGCTTGCCTGTCAGCATCTGCATCCTCAATTTACGTGACACAGTTCGGGTTGTGGCGTCTTCCACAGGGACCCCTAACGTCAGTTGACGTAACGTAGAACGTGACTGACTGAAAGGGAATGTCTCGGTTACATATGTAACCCTTGTTCCCTGAAGGAGGGAACAGAGACGTTACGTTCCTCATGCCACAACCTTGAACTTCGCTGAATGCCGGGTTACATCTCGGCTCTGAAGCACAAACCTGAATGAGTGGATGCACGCCGCCATCTTACATACCCATATGTACGGTGGAGTGGCTTGGTATGCAAAGTCCACTCGCCAATTCTCATTGGTCTTTTATTCTAAAGCTCCTGAGTGAGACCCCCAACGTCAGTCGACATAACGTCTCTGTTCCCTCCTTCAGGGAACGAGGGTTACATACGGAACCGAGATGTTTTGTTAGATTTACACTTAGTTGGGTAAAATTCTACTGAGCACCTAAAGAGACATGGTGGTGGGAGAAAAATGGGGTTGGAGTTAAAAAAATGTTTATTAAAAATGAAAATGTTTGTGTTCTCTCGCAAAACCAGTTGAGTTCGGACAAACACTTACAGCTTACAATGGTTCTGTGCTTAAAGCACAGTGTACATTCTAAAATGCTGAATGTAGGCTACTAAACCAGTGACATTGGAGGACCAAATTCAGTAGCTTACACACCTTAGTAATTACTATTAATAATAATAACACTATTAATATCAATAACCTTATTAATAATTTTACTATTAATAATATACTATTTAGAGACAAGCAGAGTAGCCCAGAATATGAACGCAACATTCTAAAACGCATGTTAAGCTTTTTCTCCCCTACAGAAAACTGTTATAAAGAAAATGCACAACGTAGAAGAAGATAGCGATATAAAAAGGCAAAATTTGGTATACAGTTTATTAAAAGATATATGTACTAGCAAGCAGTTGAACCCAGAGTATGATAACATTAAGCGTTTTTCTCCCATAACACCATTATAAAGAAAATACTTAAAGGGATAGTTCACCCAAAAATGAACTACTCAACATTACTCAGCCTCATGTCGTTTCAAACCCGTAATGACCTTCAGTCATCTTCAGAACACAAATTAAGTTACTGTTGATGCATTTTGAGAGTTCTCTGACCCTCCTAAAGACAGCAATGTAATTACCACGATCAAAGTCCAGAAACGTAGCAAGGAGATTGGTAAAATAATTCATGGCCCTGCTAATTTAGTATTAATGCGGACCTAGAACGGCCATCTTCTTGTTTGACAGGTGTCAGCGTTAAAGCGCAATACTGCCACCTGGGAGGTCAACCAGGTACTAGCGCTGGAGCATTTACATGTCGTGTTATCATAAGAGTCCTATTCATTTTAAATATTGTGGTTATCACCAATACCGGTATATTGTCATACCCTAAATTAACGCGATGTCGACATTTCATGCTTTGAATATCACGATTATCGTCAATACCGGTATATTGCGACACCCCTAGTGTGTAGGCTACTGAATTTGGTCCTCCAATGTCGCTATTTTAGTAGCGTACATTATACCACATTAAGAATTTTAGAATGTAAACCGTGACTTAAATACTGACTGTATTTCTTTATACTTGAGTCCAGGTTCAAAATAAAACTATGAACTGCTACACTGTGAACGTACGGAGCTGTATGAACCACTGCAAGCTGTAAAGTAAACTGGAAGTGTTTGTCCGAACTCAAAGCTTGTTTTGCGAGAGAACACAAAAGATTATTATTTTTTTTCCCTCACACCCAGTATTTTTTCCACCATCATATCCCTTTAGGGGCTCCATAAACCGTCTTACACAATTTAGCTTCTCAAGTAAAAGCATATTGATTATGGGTGTTTAGATCAGTGTTTCCCAACCAAGTATGCCATGGAAAATTATCGAAACTTTTTAATCTGTATTATATTTCCTTATTATTATTATTATTATTATTTTAAAACAATGCTATTGATCATCTTCGTGTCTATTTGTGGGTTTTACAAATATTTAACCAATGAAAAGTATTCAGAAGAGCTTGTGACTAAACCTCGTAACGCCATTGGATCCTCAAACTGTCAGCGAAACCTCATAACTCCAGTCCCGCCTCCATTCAGAATGAAGTGCTGCGCACAGTCTGGAGACAGATATTTGCTCATTCGCAATGCAAGGGTAAATAAAGAACTGATGTTTGAATAAGTACAGCTTTTCTTTACTCAAAAAACACTATGCATATAAAAACTAACATTATTCTGTGTTTGAAGAGCAGAGAAGACTCTTAGCATTTGCCGTCTAGGTTAATTTTATATATCTTGTGCATAGCGCTTCATCTTTTATGATGAGATTTTGGCCAAATTTATTCAACAACAAAAAACTAAGAACCCATATAGTTACAATAAAATGTATAACCTGTAAGTTGATGAAAACGTGATACACTTGCTGCCTCAGATGTGGCCATTCTAATGACGGACAGATATACACAATTTAATGTAAAGTTCTTATTGAGTTCTTACAGAGATTTGTTGTTGACCTCTGAATGGGAAATTAAAGACAGGTCTGCAGTTGCATTTACAGGATGTGGTAAGTGTCAAGAGAGCAGGTGGGTATTTTAAGACAAAGGTGTCTATTCTCCTATATGTAACCATTTACATTTATAGTTCCTACTTTCCCTGGAAATCAAACCCATGACCTTGCAGTTGCTAGCACCATGCTCTACTATTTGAGCTACATGAAGGTACAGTAATGTATAGCCCTGGTGGAGGCTGTCTGATGCCAAACACTAATGATATGTACATTTGTTTTATCATCACCAATGACATAAAGCTTTCTATGACCTTGTGTTCCTACATGACTTAAGCTCAAGTTTCACATTAAATATGAGTATTACTTTTAATATAATATCCGGGTTTTATATGCCATTTGAAGCAATGCATGTTTGTGCAATTTTGCTATATTACAGTGCTTAGTGGTGTGTCGTGGGATTTTTTCACTTATCAAAACTGTGCCACGGCTAAAAACAGGTTGGGAAACACTGGTTTATATCACATTAATCAAGAACAACACATTCAGTTTTGTCTCTGAAAGATAAAGCTAGAAACACATCGTATAGATCATATGATCAAGATATTAAACAGATTGTATGTTTGACTTACCCAGTAAAAGTGACAGACTCTTGTAGAAAACCATCATCTTCATTTCAAACATGTCTCTATTCTTTCTGCTTTCCTTTGAGGAGGTTTGAATGAACATTGCTCCTGGGAGAGACGTGTTTAACTTTATATCAGAATCACATGATCCTGTTTCTCCTCCCTCTTTTCTTCCTGACTAGAGCTAGAAAAAACAGACCAGGATTTTATTATTATTATTATTATTTTAACAAAAAGCATTTTATCAAGGTATAAATTTCATGTTGACATACATGACATACATAAATGCTAGGTGTAAACAGCAATAGCAGAATCCACCAAACTGGAACGGTGTGCCAAATGGCTTTTGCCACTTCTCCTGAGAGAGAGCGAGAGAGAGAGAGAGAGAGAAAGAGAGAGAGAGAGAGAAAGAGAGAGAGAGATGACAATCTTCCTGAACTGCATTAAGGTTTGTATTCACTTTGGTATTCAAATTCAGTGCATCACATTTTTACTTAAATCATTCCATGTTGTTTTAACCTGTATGACCATGTACGACTTTCTTTCAGTGAAACACCAAGGGTGAATTTTTGAAGTGAATGAATGACTGAAGTTGTCAAGTTCCAAAATCTCACACACACACACACACACACACACATCATAACGGTACCACAGAAATAGTTCATATGATCGTTTTCCCAGTCTTTATCTGTTATACTGCATGTTGTTTCCATCTTGTGTGTTGCACCTGACATGTTTAAAGTAGTTTTTATTTCCAATCTTACAGACTTCTCAAGATCAACAGACATTTGCATTTTGTTGTTTTAACAACCACCTGAAAGCACACAAACACCGTCCAACATGAGAAGATATGTTTCTAGATGACACAAGGCTATCATAAAAAATAAAAAAAACTCTTTAAAATACGAATATTAGCATTATTGTTGCATCTACATCTTCTGCTCTGTTTGCTTCATAAACAGAACTTGTTTTACTTATTCTCATTTCCTGAAGTTTTATTTTATCAATATTGTATGTTATGGATTCATGTTCATGTGTATATATAGTTTTGACAACACTGACCACCTCGTATATCATGCATGTTTGATCTTGTTTTTTTTAATTGTCAAATTTTAAATGTTGGTAATTTTAACAGATCCTGCTACTGAATTAAGCTACTGATTAATTGCACATATTAAAATTCACTTAAATTACTTTAACTGGATGATTGTTTTGTGTTTGTTTAGAAATCTCAAAAAAAATAAAACATTTAAATGTAAATGTTCGCAAATTGCTTACTCAGAAAAACACAAAACATGTGAGGAAGTGCACTAGGTTTGCGTTTATACCGGCATGAAAACTAACAGGCCGTCATTATGTGTTTTCATTTTCCACCTACAAAAATCTACTAATCAGTAATCACCTACAACAAAGACACATATCGTATTTGCTTATTTCTACAAATGTCTGCTTATAGTATTTTTCTTGTCCACAATGAACTTGGTTGTGCAGTTGATTTGACTAGGCTTACAATTATTTTGCCTATGTAAATTATGTTGCTGTCATTTTTTTTTCTTGGAAAAAGGCTAAGTAAATTACTGTTGCTGGTGATGAATACAATTTGACATGTTGATGGAACAAAACCATTGAAGTGAATGTTGCCATTCAGTCCAAAACCTTTAGTTGATACACTAAAGCAGTAGTTTCATTAGCCCAAATTAGCTTGCTCAGTAACTGGAGTGATCTCTTACACTGCTGTCTCGAGAGAGGCCAGTAATGCCCTGCAGTAAACAAGAAGTCAAATTAAACTGAAAAAAACCCCATAAATGCTGGGTATACAAGATAACTAAGAGTAATTTTCATCTTTTAAAAGCTAGTTTCACTTAAGCAGTCAAAATAGTTATTATTTCCATTTTTAAACAAGAAAAGGGTCTTACTAATGATAGATTATTGACGTTGATGTTGGTCATGGTATTGGAGCCTTACAGTGTTAAATTGTTTGTCATTTTGACAGCCTGTCTGGATCAAGTGGTTATGTTGGGATTGAATGTTTGGTTCTGGTTATTGGTCATGTTGGGAGGGAGTATTTGGTTCATGTTGGTGGTCATATTTGGAGGGAATATTTGGTTCAGGTCGGTGGTCATGTTTGGAGGGAGTGATTGGTTCAGGTCGTGGTCATGTTTGGAGGGAGTGATTGGCTCAGGTCGGTGGTCATGTTTGGAGGGAGTG